GATTTGTGGCAACCCTGAGGCAAATCAGGGAGGTCCGAAGTGAAAATGTTATACAATATAGGCCCAAGAATGCTACCCTGAGGAACTCCTGCCCTAACAGGTAGTCGATTAGATTTGGAATTTTGATAATTTACTTGAAGAGTTCTGTCAGTTAAATAATTTTGAACTAATTTCATAATATAAAGTGGAAAATTAAACTTTTTCAATTTAGCAATCAAACCTTCATGCCAAACACTGTCGAATGCTTTTTCTATGTCTAGAAGAGCAACTCCAGTTGAGTGGCCTTCAGATTTGTTTGAACGAATTAAATTGGTAACTCTCAAGAGTTGATGAGTAGTTGAATGCCCATGGCGAAATCCAAACTGCTCATCTGCAAAAATTGAGTTCGTATTGATGTGAAGCATCATTCTATTCAAAATTATCTTTTCAAAAAGTTTACTTATTGAAGAAAGCAAACTTATTGGGCGGTAGCTAGAAGCTTCAGCTGGATTTTTATCCGGCTTCAAAATTGGAACAACTTTTGCATTTTTCCATTTATCAGGAAAGTATGCCAAATGGAAACATCTGTTAAATAATTTTACCAAGAAAGACAAGGTACTCTCTGGGAGTTTTTTGATGAGGATATAGAAAATTCCATCATCACCTGGAGCTTTCATATTTTGAAAATTTTTAGTTATAGACCTTACTTCGTCCAAATCAGTCCCCCAGGAATCATCAAAAATATTTTCCCGAGAGAAAATATTCAGAAAATCCCGAGCAACCTGATTCTCAATAGGACTAGTAAGACCCAAACTGAAATTATGGGAACTCTCGAATTGCTTAGCAAGTTTCTGAGCTTTTTCCAAATTTGTGATCAAAATTTTACCACCTTCTTTAAGCGCTGGAATAGGCTTTTGAGGTTTTTTCAAAATTTTTGTGAGTTTCCAAAAGGGTTTGGAACTCGGGTCTAATTTAGAAATATTATTTTCAAAAGTTTTGTTCCTCAGGGCAGAGAATCGCTTTTTAATTTGTTTTTGCAAATCCCGCCAGATAACTTTCATGGCAGGATCGCGTGTTCTTTGATATTGTCTCCTACGGACATTTTTAAGACGGATCAAGAGCTGAAGATCATCGTCTATTATAATTGAATCGAATTTAACCTCGCATTTTGGTACTGAGGCAGCTCTTGCTTCAACTATAGAAGTAGTCAGAGATTCAAGAGCATAATTAATTTCATCTTTGGTTTGCAAAGGAATGTTTGGATCGAAGTTATATTCCATAAATGTTCGATACTGCTCCCAATCAGCTCTATGGTAATTGAAAGTAGAGCTGTTGGGATTACAAATTATTTCTTGGGATATTTCAAAAGTTACTGGAAGGTGATCAGAACCGAAGTCAGCATGGGTAACCAATTGGCTACAAAGTTGACATGAATCAGTTAAGACCAAATCAATAGTGGAGGGATTTCTTATAGAAGAAAAGCATGTTGGGCTGTTTAGATATTGAATAGTGTAATAACCTGCAGAACAATCATCAAACAGAATATTACCATTGGAATTGCTTTGAGCATTATTCCATGAGCGGTGTTTTGCATTAAAATCACCAATAATGAAGAATTTAGACCTATGACGGGTAAGTTTCTGGAGGTCACCCTTGAGAAAATTCTTTTGCTGGCCTACGCATTGGAATGGCAAATAGGCAGCTATAAACGTAAGTTGTCCAAATTTTGTTTCAACAGAAACTCCCAAAGTTTCAAAAACTTTGGTTTCAAATGAAGAAAGAATTTTATGTTTGATTCGTCTATGAATAATGATGGCAACGCCACCACAGGGTCCATCAAGACGATCATTTCTATAAATCAAGTAGTTTGCGTCCTTCTTAACCTTATGGGCAGGTTTAAGGAACGTTTCAGTTATAACGGCAATATGCACGTTATGAACTCTTAAAAAGTTAAATAGCTCGTCTTCATTATCTTTAAGAGATCGAGCATTCCAATTTACAATATTTAATGCTTTAAAATCCATTACTGAATTTTAAAGTCATTACAATATTATTTGCAAATTTTACTCCAGTTTGAATAGCATCAAACATGGAGTTAGATTTAAGCATATCAGAAATCATGTCAATTAATGAATTCTGTAAAAATTCCATTTTGGGGGCAGTAATGCTTCCTAAGTCAAAATTGTCAAAATTTCCGTTAGAACGTTGGTTAGTATTTTGATTTCTACCCGCTGCAATAGCAGCATAGGTAGCTCCATTAACTCGCTGAACATTGTTAGCAGCGAGGGGAGTAGGTACAGATGAAACATTTGAAGCAGGGGAGATATTTGTACCTACGGGTACGAATGTAGAATTTGTTCCTCGCTGACCGTTGTTAACAGCAGAGGAATTTGTACCTGGTCGGAAACGTGGAGCGTTTCCTACCTGACGGTTAGAACGAGATTGTAGGATCGCTTTGCGAGTCTTACATTCCCAAAAATTGGATTTGTGGTTTTCACCACAATTTGAACATTTAAATTTCTTAGGATCTTCCTTCACAGGACAGTCGTCCTTTGCGTGAGAGGAATCACCACAATTCATGCATTTAGCTGGCATGTAGCAATTTTTAGTTCCGTGACCCCATCCCTGGCACTTACGGCACTGGGTGAGGTTTTGGAAATTTCCTCCAGTCTTCCTGAAGTGTTCCCACTTCACTCGGACATGGAGCATAAGGCTAGCTTTTTCTAAGGCCTTAAGGTTGTTTAGTTCACTAGACTTGAAGTGAACTAAATAAAAATCATTAGAAATCCCTTTGCGCGAATCGCCAGGACGGGATTTCATTTTCATTTTGATTACTTGGAGTGGCACAACTCCAAGTAATTTTGCCAGTTCATCTTTGACCTGATCCAGGGATTCACCACTGGGCAGTCCTTTCATGACAACCTTGAACACACGTTCAGTTTTGGTGTCGTAAGTAAAAAATTTGTGCTTCTTCTCAGTAAGATACTTGAGAAGACATTTAAATCCGTCCAAGGTTTCAGCCAATACACGGCATTCACCCCGACGTCCAATTTGTAGTGAAAACTTAACTTTCACGAAATTCAAAAGTTCCATGCGAAGAGCATGGAAATCGGTAGTGGTTATCACAATAGGGGGAATCTTTTCCTTCTTGGCATTAAGCCGGGAAAGTTTACTAGAATTTTTCTTGGATGATGGATCATTCTCATCATCCGTGAGCAAATCAAATTGATTACTCAAATTAATTTCATCAGAAGGGGGGTCAAGAGTTTGCCCCTTTCTTTTGCGTTTAGGCGCCATGGCGGCAGTAATTTTTTATCCAAATCGACTTCCAAGCAGATTACTATAAGAATCTGAAGGATCGAAGAGGAATTTTCCAAATCGATATCCAAGAAGGATTACCTCGGGTAGGGTCCAAACAAGGATCGAAGAGGAATAAGAGTTGGAACAAGGTAGAAAATTTTTACAGGTTGAGCACTGAAAAGTGCTGTTTAAATTTGTTGTAGCTTTAGGTAGTAGTAACACTTCCTTCAGCAAAAAGCAAATAGATCCGCACGGCAAGAGAGCACGATGCGGACTGTTTTGATTTTAGATTATCGTTGTTTTTTGTTTAGTTCCGTAATAGTGTAAAAAATGGCAGGTAATGTTCGTGAGTGTTGTGCAGTTTTCTCCGTTGTCAAACTCCCTAGTAGGCAGAGGTAGGACAGCTTACTGTAGAACGCAACAATCCACCCCACCGAGAATTACAAAAACCCGCCACCAGATGGACAAACAACTGCCTGTTGGGAGGCCATGGGGGGTGGCGATAGAGATGGCCATTTTGAATGGACGATAACGGGCACGACAAACTGACGATGAACGACGAATGGCCCGGGTCACTGGCCGACAGCCTGGAGCAGTGACCCAATGACTCACTCAACTCTGAAATTAATAATCACTGATCGTAAGACCACCAGCGAAAACGGTTTATCAAGAAGCAAGCCAGCTAAATTGACGCAAGTAAGAGTGGAAACAGTGAAAAAGTGTGAGGAGAGAGTCAAGGACAGCAGGTAAACCGCAATAATTACCATTTTGGTTAAAATGGTCCTAATGCCAAATGTATTTGACCATTAGGACCCCGCTGTATTTAGTACAAATCACCTGTACGCAGTGAAGTTCCGGTAGACGTACCGGAAGGTTACACCGTCATTGCCTGCCGGCCGAGTTCGTCACCAACTCACAGGCCCAGGAAGAGTAACCTGGTGTTCGTCATCGCCACCCCGTACAGCAAGCGCGCGAACGAGATACACGACGAGAAAGTGGAGAGGAAGCGGACGTCGACCGAGGACAAGCGGTCGACAATCGAAGACACATAGTGGAGGTGTTGCGAGGGGCCCCGACGAAGAAGCCAGGTCAGATAGATTGTAAGAAAGTGGGAGAATAAGGTAGTAAAGAGGGAGAATAAAAGTTCAGGAAAGTGCAATAAATGTCTATTCTTGAGTAGTGAAGTGCTTGTGGAGTTTTTTCTGTGTGTCACGTGCGATCATTCCCTGCCCGCGTAATTGCAATCGGTAAGCGTGCCGACCCTGAGGCCATTGGAGTCAGGGAGTCTCGAAAGTGCTCCTGACTGAGGTGGCTGACACTTACACTTTGGCGCCCAACTTAAAATTGTCTTATCGGCAGTTGTTTTAAGAATACAGCTCGGAAGATCGCACTTGATAGAGCTGGTTTCTACAGAGGTCTCTGAGAAAACATCCAGGCCTTCACAAGTCTCTTAGCACATTTGACATTATTACTTTACCTGACACAGTTTAACAAATATTTTATTTGCAATGGAGAGGTTCTGATTGTCCGTAAAAAAGTAACAAAGAACGATTGTTCAAAAAGTGAGTAACAAGTAGATTGAATTCAAAGGAGCGAACTGTTTATCCGTGTGCGTGGTGTGTTTTCGGAAGGAGATATTAAAACACCAGAAAGGAAAAGTGATTTATTTCTGAATTTGAAACTAGGATTTTACAATTATTAGGATTTTCAAATTAATTTTCAGCGTGAAAGACCGCTAAGCGTAATATAGGTAGTTCTTTTTAATTTTTCTTTTTATAATTTTGCTTAAATTTCACGCAAACATTGCATAATGGAATTAATTCACTTTGAGACGCAGTACCACGCGCTCAATACTGCTCATCTGGCTGATGACGAACTCCATCATGAATTGCGGATTCGTGGTGTGAACATGGATGATGAATCGCGTAGTAAACAGGAGAGAGCCTTGCGGAATTTGTTGAAAGCTGAAAAAGAAGTGAGAAGATTAAGTTTCAAATACGATGAGATTGCGTTGATTGATGAGTTGAAATGGTGTGATGAAAAGCTACAGGGTGTAAAATCCATATTGGAAGGCAAGAAAATACGAAAAGCCCCTGATCAAAAATTCAAATCGAAGCTTCTTCACATTTTCTTCAGAATGAAACGGTTGAGGTCACAGGCAGAAGAAGAAGAAGATTTGAATAGCATAGCAACGATAGCAGGAGAATGTATCAGGTTATTAAATCTATTTTACTCAATCACTTCACCACTCTCCGAAGTGAGAGAAGCTGAGATAGCAATCGTAAATGAAAGCCTACGACAAGTCCGCGAAGAAATAGATGAGAGGAATGAGAATGAAAATGAAGAAGTAGAGTCCATAGTTGGTCAGAGTGAAGTGGTACAAACGCGAGAACAGGAGAGTGTGAGCAGTGAGCATATGAACGAAAGTATTAGGAGAGAGGAATATGAGGAGAATTCTGACGATGTTGGTGCTGTAGGTGGAGATGATGTGATTGGTGAAAAAGAGAACGAAAGAGTTGCAGAGCTTTCGGATGAGAATAGGCGACTAATGGCAACAGTAGGTCAGCTGATTCAGCGTATTAAAGCTTTGGAAGCTTTGACTGCAACCAAACATTGTGAAGGAAATGAACCAATCAAACAAAGCACTAGTACACCGTTAGAGCAAAGTTCGATACAACATGAGAAAGATGCGCGTCAGAAAGCTAATCAGCAGGATTTTTGTGAATGGGTGAAGAATAAATATGGTTCGATTCAGAGTGTAGTAGAAGAAAAGAGATTTACTCAGTCCTCCCATCATGCAGACAAGAGCAATAGGAAGAAAGTAGAGATAGATAGGGCAAGAACTAGCCGATTACCGGTGCATAAATGGTCAGCAAAGTACGATGGGATGGATAATGGGAGAAAGCTAAACGAATTCCTCAAAGAAGTTGAATTTAATGCAAGGTCGGAAGGATGCACAGAAGCAGAATTGTTCGTATCTGCACATCATCTGTTTACGCGGAAAGCTAGGTCGTGGTTTATGGAAGTCAATGGGAACAATGAGTTAGGATCGTGGGAGAATCTGGTAACTGAACTTAAAAGCGAGTTCTTACCTGTAGACATTGATTACCAGTATGAACGTCTGGCGAATGCGCGAAAGCAAGGTCCTAGGGAGAAATTCCAGGACTATTATCTGGATATGGTACGAATTTTCCGGAGTATGTCGAGACAATGGGATGATGCCAGAAAGTTCGATGTGCTTTTCCGGAACACCAGAGCAGATTGCAGAACGGCGATGTTGGCTGCGAACGTGACCTCCATTCCTAAAATGAGGGAATTTGGAAAAAAGTTCGATAGTATTAATTGGCAGGTTTATGCAAGAAAGGAGAGTAGATTTGAAAGGCCAAATGGTCAAGTCGAGGAAATCAGTCAGCAGAATCAATACCGAGGTGGGAATGGATTAAACAATAGATTTCCATCAGGGTACACAGGAGGATACCAAGGACGAAATTTTAACCCAAATTTTAAACCCGGAGGTAAACAAATTCCACCTGAGAGGAACAAAATTCAGGGTGAACATAATCAACAGAAATTTCAACCAAAACAGAAGCCAATCCAGCAGAACAACCAAAATCATCAACGAAGACAGGAAAACCCAAAACCAGGTCCGAGCGGTACCAGTGCGTTACAAAGGATTGTAAAAGCATACATTCCGATAAAACGTAGTTTATGTTTTAATTGCCACGAGGAGGGGCACAGTTTTCATGAGTGTGAACAAGAACGCCACGTCTTTTGTGAGAAATGTGGTTTTCCAGGGTTCCCCACGAATGACTGCCCATTCTGCGAATCAAAAAACGCCAAGAAGACTGCTCAATGAGGCAGAGCAGTCAAATCGTCTCCGAAAGTCCTCAACACGTATCGCCGGAAGATCCAGCATCCAGTCTCCAGGAATTAGGATACTCAATCGTGGAAGGACGTGCCACAATGCGGGAGGAGATAGCAACATTGCTCGTCAAGCTTAGTGGAGACGCCCGGCCATTTACAAGGATTGAATTGATGGGGATTGATGTGATTGGGCTTCTAGACAGTGGAGCAGCACGGACGGTTCTAGGGATCGGAGCGAGCAAAATCATGAAAAAACTTAATTTGAAGCTTCAACCAACTTCAGTCAATTTGAGGACAGCAGCTGGGGATGAGCTAGAAGTCCAAGGATGTGCAGACATTCCAATCACATTCAATGGCACTACGAAAATTTTGCCTGTACTAATCGCTCCGAATCTAAACCGTAGGTGTGTGCTAGGCTACGATTTTTGGCTAAAATTTGGGATTAGACCAACTATTCGAGATGATCCAGTTGAGATCTTAGATGATGGCGTTAGCAGGGAAGTAGAGATGGAGGATGAGCTAACGGAGGAACAGAAGATACAACTGGAAAATGTGAAAAAGGAGTTTTTAGTCGCAGAACCTGGAAATTTCGGAGCAACGAACCGAATAATACATACGATCGAATTGAAGGAGGAATTTAGGGAAACAGATCCGGTTAGAAAGAACCCGTATCCATGGAGTCCAGTGATACAGCAGAAAATTCACGGAGCACTGGACGACATGATTAGAGATGGGATCGTTGAGCAATCTAACTCAGATTGGGCTTTACCAGTAGTACCTGTTGCAAAGAGGGACAGTCAAGAAGTAAGACTATGCTTAGACGCCAGAAAATTGAATGAGAGGACCAAAAGGGACGCTTACCCATTACCGCACCAGAACAGAATTTTGAGTCATTTGGGGCCGGTCAAATATTTGACAACCATTGACTTATCGCAAGCCTTTCTACAGATTCCGTTGAGCCCGGACTCTAGAAAGTACACTGCCTATTCAATCCCAGGTAGAGGGCTGTTTCAATTTACACGGCTTCCGTTTGGGTTGGTAAACAGTCCTGCTACTCTGAGTAAATTGATGGATCGTGTGCTAAGTCACGGTGCTTTAGAACCAGCAATATTCGTTTATTTAGACGATATTGTGATTGTCAGCCAAACTTTCGAAGAGCATATTCAAAAACTTCAAGACCTAGCGAAGCGTTTACGAGAAGCAAACTTGTGCATAAATGTAAAAAAATCTAAATTTTGCTGCAAAGAATTGCCGTATCTTGGGTACATTTTGTCTCAAGATGGATTACGGCCTAATCCAGATCGTGTACAGGCGATCTTAGGATATCAGGTTCCGAAATCGGTTAGACAACTTCGTCGATTCCTCGGTATGATCAATTACTACCGTAGGTTCATTGCAAATTATAGTGAAATTACAGCACCTCTCACTGACTTATTGAAAAATAAGCCAAAGAGGGTGCAATGGAACACAGCAGCTGATAATGCATTTCAGGTCATCAAGGAGAGACTAATCTCTGCTCCTGTGATGGCCAACCCGAATTTTATGCTTCCCTTTACGGTCCAAACGGATGCAAGCGACAACGCTATCGCAGGGGTCTTGACGCAGGTGCATAATGGGGAGGAGAAGGTCATAGCGTACCACTCCGAAAAGCTCAAGGGAGCGGAGCTGCACTACCACGCGGCAGAAAAGGAAGGACTCGCTGCGCTCCACTGCATAGAAAAGTTTAGAGGTTATATAGAGGGGACGAAGTTTACTCTTGTGACGGATTCCTCTGCCTTGACTTTTATAATGCGAGCGAAATGGCGGTCTTCCTCACGGCTCAGTCGCTGGAGCATAGAACTTCAACAACATGACATGGAGATCCGTCATCGTAAAGGGAAAGAGAATATTGTTCCCGACGCGCTCTCCCGATCTATCGAAACGCTGGATGATGAGCCCGATGACGGATGGTACAAGAAACTGTTAGCAACAGTGAAGGAAGATCCTGAGAAGTACTTAGACTTCAAAATTGTAGATGGAGTTCTCTACAAGTTTGTAGCCGCTAGGTCCGACTTAATGGACTACCGGTTTGAATGGAAGCAGTGTGTTCCAACTTCAAAACGAACCCAGATCCTGAAACAGGAACACGACCAAAATCTCCACATTGGATACATAAAATGTGTTGAGAAAATCAAACGAAAGTTTTACTGGCCTCGCATGAGCGGCGATATTAAAAAATATATCGCCAACTGCGAGCTATGCAAGGAAAATAAACACTCTACCGTGTCGACAGCTCCGGAAATGGGGAAGCAGAGGATTTCTTCACGACCTTTTCAAATAATTTGCATGGATTACATCCAGTCCCTTCCCAGAAGCAAGCAAGGCAACACACACTTATTGGTGGTCATGGACCTCTTTTCTAAGTATTGCTTACTTGCTCCTGTTAAGAAGATCTCGACGGTCTCGCTGTGCAAAATATTAGAGGAGCAATGGTTTAGGAAATTCTCTACACCTCAAATCGTCATCACGGACAATGCAACAACTTTCTTGTCGAAAGATTTCCATAATCTGCTTGAGAAATATGATGTTCAACATTGGGCGAATGCTCGCCATAGGAGCCAGGCAAATCCGGCTGAACGACTCAACAGAACGATTAACGCAATGATTCGTTCATACGTAAAACATGACCAAAAACTTTGGGACACGAAGATTTCGGAGATGGAATTCGTACTGAATAATACGATCCATACGACGACCAAATTCAGCCCATATTGCGTAGTGTTTGGTCACGAAATCATCAGCAAAGGATCTGAGCATAGACTGGAGGCGATCACAGAGCAAACCGAAGAGCAGAGAATGGAAAGGTGGAGAGGTGTAAACAAAAGGATCAGTGAGTTGGTAAGAGATCATCTCCAGAAAGCTCATGAGGACACGAAGAGACGATACGATCTCCGACATAAGCGTTACTCACCAACGTTTGATGTGGGTCAGCGTGTGTATAAACGGAGTTTTCGTCAGTCGTCTGCTGGAATCCAATTCAACGCGAAGCTGGGACCTCAATACACACCATGCGTCATCCTCCGGAAAGTCGGTACCAGTTCGTACGAGGTGTCGGACTTAAACGGAAAATCGTTGGGTGTATTCTCAGCTGCGGATTTAAAAGCATAGTTCCCTAAAAAAAAAAGAAAAGAAGAATAAGAGCTCTAAATCACATCATTTCAATTATGCAATCCAGAAGTTGAAGGTTTTAATGTGGAAAGGGATAGATATTTTAGTGAATAATCATGTTTTAATGTACCTGTCCTTCCATGGTTTAGAAAATCAGCTTCTAAAAATAACAGGAAAACCCCGGGGTAGAATAACGCAAACCAATGCGTGAGTAGCATGAATATTCAGTTGCATCCATATTATATTTGTAAATACGGCCGTATAAAAATAGCAACGTTGTTTAGTAGTTGATTGCGCACTGTAGTTTGATAGTTTTAATCTAGTAGTATTGTAGATTTGCATGTTTACCTAAAATTTTAGAAATTATATGGTTATTTTCATATTTTAGTTCCCAAAAGGGGATAATTTTCTTTTAATTTGTTTGTTTTGTATTGGTATTCAAAGTCAGAATGTTAAAGCGCACCGTATATCGTCTGTATGTTTCAACTGTCTTGAAAGCAAAGTTATAAACAAGTTTTAACTTCGAATACAGTCAGTCAGTAAGCTATTGTGCAGAGATGTATGTGTGTAAATGAGCTGTGTGTTAAAAAATTGTGTCAAGGTCATGATCAAGTCAATATAGTAAAACAATAGAACACCAAATCGATGAGTTTTACTCACATTCTAGCAGATTCCACTTTCGTTATACATACTCACCATTCACATATTGTCACGTGATCAACAAAAGAAGTGCAGAGATGAGCTTCTAGTAAGAAATTTACATGATCAACTAAGCGAAAAATCAAAACCAATGGAAAGATCAATTGGCCAATTTTTTTTAATAAAAATCAAATAATTTCTTATTAAAACCTCATCATTACTTACCACATGTTATCATCATCGCATCAGAATCACTATTGACAGCAGTTTGACAATGTTTCTAAGAAGACCGAACCAAGATCACGCACACAGATAAATCAGTGATAACGTTATCTCGAAAAACGTACTAGAACACAACTCCGACAAGTCGCGTGAAATGTTTCGTGCACCATTCGCATGACTCAATTATTGTATATATATATGCTCCAAGTTATTAATATTTTGTTTTGATTTAAAAATTGATAGTAAATGGAATATTGCATGTAGTAAATAGTTATGTTATAGTAAATATCTTTTTAAACAATCGGTGAAAATTTAGCTAATTTGTTTCGAGGTTACTAGGTGTAAAAACCTATGTATTTGATCGCTGGAGACCGGAGTCTATGAACACTGATGGTCAGTATTGATATAATGTCATAAAATTGAGAGGAGTTGATTAAGTTCAACGATGAATACTTATGACCCCGATACTCGATGATTAATAGCAACCTTCACATACTTTTATTTTTTGTAAGTCAGCTTAACCCTGTACGTTACAATGTATATATTTCGCAAACTTCAGTCAGTTGCAGTGATTTTGTCCTGGTGATAATATTCTTGTGTTGTGTAGGTTCAGAGATACGTGTAACCGGGGAAGTCTTGTGAGGTTTGAAGCAAAAATATTTACTTTGTAAATATTTTTACCCGAGCTGAGGGAGAGTGTAAGTGCTAGTGTCTTTGTTTCGAGTATTTTTTAGATTATCGTTGTTTTTTGTTTAGTTCCGTAATAGTGTAAAAAATGGCAGGTAATGTTCGTGAGTGTTGTGCAGTTTTCTCCGTTGTCAAACTCCCTAGTAGGCAGAGGTAGGACAGCTTACTGTAGAACGCAACAATCCACCCCACCGAGAATTACAAAAACCCGCCACCAGATGGACAAACAACTGCCTGTTGGGAGGCCATGGGGGGTGGCGATAGAGATGGCCATTTTGAATGGACGATAACGGGCACGACAAACTGACGATGAACGACGAATGGCCCGGGTCACTGGCCGACAGCCTGGAGCAGTGACCCAATGACTCACTCAACTCTGAAATTAATAATCACTGATCGTAAGACCACCAGCGAAAACGGTTTATCAAGAAGCAAGCCAGCTAAATTGACGCAAGTAAGAGTGGAAACAGTGAAAAAGTGTGAGGAGAGAGTCAAGGACAGCAGGTAAACCGCAATAATTACCATTTTGGTTAAAATGGTCCTAATGCCAAATGTATTTGACCATTAGGACCCCGCTGTATTTAGTACAAATCACCTGTACGCAGTGAAGTTCCGGTAGACGTACCGGAAGGTTACACCGTCATTGCCTGCCGGCCGAGTTCGTCACCAACTCACAGGCCCAGGAAGAGTAACCTGGTGTTCGTCATCGCCACCCCGTACAGCAAGCGCGCGAACGAGATACACGACGAGAAAGTGGAGAGGAAGCGGACGTCGACCGAGGACAAGCGGTCGACAATCGAAGACACATAGTGGAGGTGTTGCGAGGGGCCCCGACGAAGAAGCCAGGTCAGATAGATTGTAAGAAAGTGGGAGAATAAGGTAGTAAAGAGGGAGAATAAAAGTTCAGGAAAGTGCAATAAATGTCTATTCTTGAGTAGTGAAGTGCTTGTGGAGTTTTTTCTGTGTGTCACGTGCGATCATTCCCTGCCCGCGTAATTGCAATCGGTAAGCGTGCCGACCCTGAGGCCATTGGAGTCAGGGAGTCTCGAAAGTGCTCCTGACTGAGGTGGCTGACACTTACAGTTTATACCTGAATTTGGTATTAATAAGTTATTTTCTCCTGCTCGGGAAACGCACCTTCCATAACATTTAGAAAAATTGTAATTAAATTATTTAGGAGATTTTTCGTCCTTTAAACATGAGTAGTTCCTTGGGGCTGTCCATAATACGCAACGCTAAAGGCTAATAAGGAGATTTTAATAGTTGAGAGTACCACACTGTGCCAGCAGGAGAGACCTAGCACATTGCAGGCCAGGCTCAATTTCAATTTCGTTTATCAATTTGCAACCAAAACCAAATGTCATCCGGCCAAATGGCATTCGGCCAAATTACTCATTCGACAGATACGGTTAATATCCCTAATGTCCCTAACATTGGGCCCATTAATACATTTTGAAGGAAAGTATTTTTTATATATTTTCCACTAACAAGGGGGCGACCCCAGCGTAGTGGTTTACATCCATATCTCTCACGCCAAAGTCACGAGTTCAAATCTCACCCCCGGACAAGTCACGAATGACCCAAGAGTGTCAAAGTGACTATAATGATAATAATTATTATTTTCCACTAGCAACCAAAAATATCAATTTTATTATCCAGATGCCGCATTGATCTATGAAAAATTGAAAAACAGGAGATTTTGATCGATGGGCTCAATAGAGCCATCTTTCTATTTTGGGGAAAAAATAGGCTTCGTAGACTGTTACTTTTTTTTATTTAATTAAATCTTCAACATAATGTTGTACAGATATTTTCTAGGCTAGGTGTCGAATTCTATGTCTGTAAGTAGACTTACTAATGTTAAAATCATATACATCAAACGTTTCATTAAACATACGACAGCACAAAGTCCACGGTTCGTTGAATCCATAGTTGGTCCGATGGGTAGGTTGCCACAGAAGCGTGTAACTACGTAGAACTCTTTGAGGAGCATTGATGTAGATTTGGCTCACAAGAGAGTTGCAATCCACGTCACCGTTAAGCAATCCAAACACGAAGAATCGCTGAAGTAGTTTCCTCCTTGCTGCCAACGTGTCTTGGTCAATCAGCCTGCACCGTTCTTCGTAAGGCGGCAAATTTACCGAATCGTTCCAGGGCAGAACACGTAAAGCGTATCTTACGAAGTTTCGCTGAATGGCTTCGATTGTGTTAGCTTGAATAGCGTGAAAGGGTGCCCACACAACAACAGCATACTCTAGAAGACTGCGGACGAGAGCACAGTATAGTGATTTCAGTGCGTAGATGTCCTGGCATGCGTTTGTGTTTCGTTTCAAGAAACCTAATGTGGCAAATGCTTTAGCAGTTATCATGGAGATGTGCTCATTGAATCTGACTTTAGAGTCGATGATAACACCCAAATCCTTAACTGAAGAAACGAAGAGCAAACTACTGAGTCCTATCCTATAGTCATGTCGTAAGGGCTCGCGTGAACGGCTAAAAGATATCGGCGAACATAAGTTTCGAAGAACACAGTCGACTACACAAATCGTTCACGAACAGGATGAAAATTAAAGGCCCCAAATGGCTACCTTGCGCTACACCAGAGGGTATCTCGAAACTAGGCGAATTAACACCGTTAATGCTCACATAGGCTGAGCAGTCAGTTAAGTAAGACTGTAGCCACTTCGTGGCCCAATTAGGTAATCCCATACACCCCATTTTGTCTACTGCAAGCACATGTGGAACCCTATCGAACGCCTTACTGAAGTCCACGTAGATCGCAACAACTTGTCGTCGTTTTTCAATGGAGTTGATCAGCGAGTTGACAAACACCATTAAGTTGGTTGCTGTAGAGCGTTTCCTCACGAAGCCGTGCTGATGTTCGGTAATTATTGGCCTAACCGCTTGATAGGGTAACCAACTGATTTTGGACCCCTAGAGGAAGTGAGATCACGTTTATGTCAAAATAATATTATTTGTTTATTATTATTATGCAATTTACATGCGGTTGTGTTCGAAAGCTACTCATTTGGATGTAAAATGTCACTAGATGTTTTATTTATTGATATATACTCGAAAAATAATTCTTTTCACATCATGATATTCACATATTTTGGACCCTTCCACTTGATTTTGGACAGTGTCCATAATATATTTTGGACACACTGAATGGGAACGAATATATTTTGGACATGCTGAAGTTCTTTCAACCTATGAGCCTAAAATTAATTACGACGGTCACTTCTTCCTATCTCGCATTTGTTAGGTCCGTCTAGGTGGGAAAATTTTCATAGAAGGTGCCGTAAAACGGGGTGAAATTGATCAGCGGGGTGAATTTGATCGCTGAGTATACCCAATATTGTACTTATGCATAATATTTTTACAATGTATACAAAGATACATTCGTACGCTTAGTAACGAAAAACATGTTACACATGAAAAAAATATCTCGAGAAATTTCAGCGATCAATTTTGCCCCGCTGATCAATTATACCCCGTTTTACGGT